CAAGTTAAGCGGTCATTAAATCCTTCTAAAGCATCTGATTAGAAGGTAAATATAGGTATCAGTCAAGAGGTTAATCTAATTTGTATTAAGGCAGATTAAGAAGCCACTCTTCCTGTTCATTATAAACCAGAGCTAGGATTGAGCTTTCTATTTAGACTTCCTGTTTTAATCCCCTGGGTGTATTGCATCGATACTTCATGGCCAGAAAAACTGTCACTAGATTTCTTTTTGTCCTATCACCATCAACAGGCAATGGGGGACAGAATCAAGAGTGAGTTGGAAAAGGGTCTTTACATCAGGACTAGGAGGGTTTCTTAGGCCTGTGTCTGTGTAACACTGCTGCTGGTTATTTTCTGCCACACGATCCATGGGAATTCTTTTTTATATTGACTGCTTCTTTGTCACTAATTGAATTGAATTGGCCAGTCTTTTCATCGCCCTTGGGAACACTACCGAAAAGGTTTATGTTTTCGTGCTAGTTCTCTTGGAGCCACCCCCAGGGACTGAAATTGTGTCCTCTGAACCTCCACGTTCCTTCTCTGCCTGTTGCTGAGTGTGGATTTCAGAGAGAATTTAGCAGGGCGAGAGTGGTGGCAGGAGTGGGGGTGAGGAGCAAAGGAGAAACCATCACTGAGGTCACAGGGCTGGTGTTTTTCTCTTTGCCTCTCCCTGTTGAACTCTTTCATGAAGCCAGTCCTTTGCCAGGGTTACATTACTTTAGTTTCTCCTTTCAAACCAGTCTTCCTTCTCCTCCATGTGTTGATCTCTCTGTCCTAGACCAAGCCTGCAGGGAGAGCTAGAACTTCAACACCGTGCTCAGTTCAGCCTTGTTCCCCATCTCAGGTGGAAAGCACTTGGCTTCAGGATTTCACTTTATGTAACATGCTAGCGGAAGGTCTTTTGCTAGATGTTCTTTGAGTTGGTGATTCTCCTTCCTTCCTCCCTTCCTCTCTTCCTTCCCTCCTTCCCTTCTTCCTTCCTCCCTTCCGCCTTCCCTCCCTTCCTTCCCTCCTTTCCTTCCTTCCCTCACTTCCTCCACCCCTTTCTTTCTATTTGGCAGTACTAGGGTTTGAACTCAGGGCCTTGTGCTTGCTAAGCAAGTGCTCTACCACTTGAGCCTTGCTACCCACTCTTTCTTCTTCTTTTTTTAGTTCATTTTCTCTTGAATGGGTGTTGAATTTTGTCAAGTGCTTTTTCTGCCTTTGTTGATACTTTGTGACTTATGGGTTACAAAATTAAAAAAAAAACTAAAAAGAAAAATAAAAAGCATGAGTTACATTGATTGATTTTTAAATATTTAGCCACCCTTGCATCTCTGTGATGAATCTTATGACATACAGTTCTTTAAACTATTGAATTCTGTTCGCTAATATTTTGTTAAGGTTTTACTGCATCTATATTTATGAGGTATTCTGGTCGGTGTTTTTTTTTTTTTGTATACTCTTTGTATGGTTTTGGTGTTAGTGTAATAATGACTTCATAAAATGAGTCTCAGAAAGGCAATCTTGCCTCTTTTATTTTCTATAAGAGCTGTATAGAATTGGTATTGATTCTTCCTTATACATCTGATAAAAATTCTCCAGTGAACCCATATGTGTCTGGATATTTCTTTTTCCAGAGTTTTAAATGTACAAATTCAATTTTCTTAATACTGGAAGTTCTATTGCAATGATCTGTTTCCTATTGGGTGAGTTGGAGTTTCTGTGTTCTGAAGAATTGCCTTGTTTCACACCTGATTGTTGCATGGATGTGCATAGAGTTGTTCATAGTGTTCCCTTATTTTCCTTTTGACATTTCCAGGGTCTGGTATGATATCCCTGATTCATTCCTGAGATTGGTAATTTGTGTCCTTTCTTTTTTTCTCCCCTCTCAATCTTGCTAGAGGTTTGATGATGTTATTGATTTTGTCAAAGCACCATCTCTTGTTGCATGGTGTTCAGTCATCCAGGATCTTTCTCTTCAATTTCAGTTTCTTCTCTGTTCTAGTCCTCACTGTTAACATTGTGTTTCAACTGCAATCACCATTCCTGTGGCCTTCACATTCCTCTTCCACATTTTGGCAGGCACTCTATTACTGTTTACCCTTCCTTTTGGCCTTGCTTCTGAGAGGTGACCACATCTTGCTGGTATCTCTGGGAAGTTTTTTTTTTTAATATAATTTTTTGTTAGAATATATTCATTTTACGGGGGGGATTCAGAGTGACAATTCCAATCAGACATATATAGTGTACATTATTTACATCACCCCTGTCGTCTGTCCCCCTCAATCCCCTCTCCACTCCACTCAAAGTAATTTCAAGAGGTTTCCCAGGTCCATTCCACATAGGTACATGAAGTCCATCAACCATATAGTGACACCTCAATCTCCTAGGAAGTTTTTATTTTTTAAGAGACAGAATCTTGCTATGTAGCCCAGGCTGGTTTTGGACTCGTGATCCTCCCTTTTTTTTTTTTTTTGCACAATTTCTCCAGTTTATTAGGTACTCTATAATTTCCCCAAATATATTGCCATTCTCATCTATATTCTATTGAATTTCTTCTTTCTTATAATCTTTGTGTTATTCAAATTCTTATATACATACTTATTTAAATACCACATGCTGTAGCTCATATGTGGAATCCTGATAACTTGATCTCACAGAGGTTGAGAGTGGAGTGGTGGCTGCCAGAGGCTGGGGACAGCAGAGCAGAGTGGCTAGAGGAGTGGAAAAGGTTGGTCATGAAGTACAGCGTTACAGTTAGACAGGAGGAATAAATTCTGGTGCTTTATGGCATAGCAAGATGAGTATAAGCAACAATAATGCATTGTATGTTTCCAAATTGCTAGAAGAGGGGATTTTGAATGCATTGCCTTAAAAAACTTTTATCAATCTTCATTGAAGTTTATACGAAATTTCACATTAGAGCATGTTATTTTTTGCTAATATTTTTCTTTTCATCATCATGCATATAATTTATTCCCCCAGACACACACTGATCATTTGTTTGGCTTTCTTCATGTTTGCCTACATGATACTGTAACTCTAAATCCATTTATAACAAAGGTGAATTACTTTTCCTCTTTAATCCTGGCCTGTTTCTCCTTGCCGTTTATTTTTAAAATTATTTTATTTTTGATTTATCATACATTAATAATATGAGGGGGGTTCATTGTGATAATTCCATACATGTGTACAGTGTACCTTGAACAAGTTCACCCTCTATTATATTCCCATTGCCCCTCTGTCTCCTCCCCCCTCTTTCAAACAGTGCTTGGTGGGCTTCATTATGCTTCATACGTATATGTGCAGTGTATTCCATCCTCTTCACCCCTCAGTATTGAACTCACAATCCTCCTGCCTCTGCCTCTTCAGTGCTGGGATTCCACGCAGGCCTCTGCCCACACCATGGACCAAGCCCTTCAGTAGCTTTGTCTTTGGCAACCATTTTGGTTAGGAGCACAGGCTCCTAACAGTCAGGACAAGGTTTCCATGTTGGCTCTGCCACTTTGCTATCTGCATGACCTTAGGCAAGTGACTTTACATCCCTGAGTCTTAGTGGCCTCTCTGTAAAATGAGATTATATCTGTTGCCAAGATTATTATAAAGATTGAAGAAAATGTCTTAAGAGCTATTAAGTGCCAAATAAATATAAGGGATATTTTAATATGAAAATAGTTTAAAGTCAAGATTAAATTGGAAATAGTCATGAAATAATGCTGTAGTGGTAGAATTACAAGACTATAGGAAAAGAAAGATGTGTGTGTGTGTGTGTGCATGCAGTGTGTATGTGTGTGTTCACACACACACATATAAAAAGAATGAGAAGACACACTTCAAAATGTTACTCTAGATTATGGCTAGCTTTACGTGATAGGAAGATCATTTTTTAAGCTATGTTTTCTACATTTAGAATTTTTAGAGTGGGACTGGAACACATCTACAATTTCAAAATATTAAGAAAGAAGAATCAAGGTCTGATGATTTACTATTTGGTTAGTTACACTCTACCATATTTTAGAAACAATTTAAACCAGCATATAACATAGCAAGATAAAGCTGAAATATAAAGCAAAAGAATCAAAGGAGAAGCCACAGGTAGAAAAGATGCTATGTACTGACACTCTTAAACATTTGTAGCCAGATGTGATGGTACATGCTTGTAATCTCAGCACCTAGGATGCTGAAGCAGGAGGATAAGGACTTGGAAGACAGCCAAAAAAATGATCATGACTATCTTATTGGTTTTTTTGTGTGTGTGCATGTGTTACTGGGGATTACACCCAGGGCCTCATGCATGCTAGGCAAGTGCCCTTTTTGCTTTCATTTTGTTTTTTTTGAGATAGGGTCTTGAGACCTTTACTCATTCTGGCCTTGGACTGCAATCTTCCTGACTCTACCTCCCAAGTATCTGGGATTATGGGTGTGTACCACCATGCCCAGCTGTCTTGTGGCATTCTTTTTAAAAGAAAGAACATCCTGGGATATCCCTCAGTCATAGTTTTAATAAGTAAGATAAACTTTGCAAGAAGAAAGCAGCATTTCATAAAACAATATAATATTAAAATGATGCACAAAACGGAGAAGTTCCTGGTGTTTTCAGTGAGTTAAAGATTCTGATTATTTTATTGTTGGTACACTACAAAGTCCCAAGAAGGGCGTGGTTGGTATTAAGTACATATTTTACTTGTGTAATATTTTGCATGTTACAAATACACATTCAGTTAGTGTTAGTTTTGCTTACCTGTTTTAAATACATTGGATGGAGAGGCAAATTACAGTAAAGAAACCCAAACTGGACGTGAAGATCATGGTCTAGCTCTGTCCTAACTTCCTCCTTCAGAAATTGAGAGGCCTGGACAAGATCTAACTTTGACCTTCTATAGTGTAGTAAAGTTGTCAATGTTCCTTTCCCTTGACCCTGCCACTTGGGATCATTATAGGGTGTTAGTTGAACCATGTTATAAAACATTCATTGTGGAGTTTTATGATATTAACATAACGTAAATGTCTTTTTCACAGAGAGACCTCTCTCCCCCAAGGCCGTCAAAGGATTTGAAACAGCTCCACTTACCAAGAATTATTATACTGTGGTGAGTGTTCAGAAGATGAACAAAATTTTCTTCACTCTATGGGGAAACTTGTCATGTGTCAGATCACTGATGTATTGGGGTGACACAAAGGAAAGACTGTATAAAGTTGTATTGAAAGGTTCCATTGCTGTCTGTGTTACAATGGCACTGTTTTACTGGTAGGATTTTTACAGATGCCTGGAAGTTTTACATCCACTGTACTGAAAAATCCAAAGGCAGCACAGAGATCCAGAGCAAGGCCTATTAAACAGCAGTGGTAGTGAAATTGGTTAATATGTGGATAATAGCGTGAAATCCAGCAGTTATATGTAGTCTTACCAGATAGTAAAAGGTGAACTCCCAAGTTCCTATAATGCAATAAGTTTTAAGTGATTGTGCTCTGTGATTTTACTTTAGAATCAAGCAATCCATTATATCCTCTGGAATATTATCAACTCTTATTTTTGAGGAGAACCCAGAAAGAAGACTGTCTTTTGGCACGGAGGGAGGAATGAAATGGTTCTGGCTTGAACACAGATATGTCAAACTATATTAACTATAAATAAGGCATGTGTAATACTCAAAATAAGTTCCTGTTTGAAAAAGAAATCATATCATTCTCTTTAATCTACTCTCTGCTTTCCTTCATGTCTCCTTTCCAGACTTGGCCCAGTCACTAATGAAAAGGTCAAGTCATCATTACCTCTAAGTTGCCTTGTCTGGTAGCCTCGTGACCTGCCCCCCCACCTCTGCTGAAATACAGCTTCAGTTTTTTACCCAGTGTTCTGTATGCATTTGTACTGCATGCTCATTTCATTTTGTGCATAGATAAGGCATTTTTAATCATCTCTATACAGGTATGTGAATGGCATTTGGTTTCAAAAAATTGAATTTCACCCTTCAGTGAATTTGTTCCATAATGGTGACATAAGCAACAGGTGATATGAAAAATCAGAAAGAAACTTTATAGGTGACATAGACAATAATCACAGGGAAACTGTTTTGTCAATATTTTTCCTCTTAAATTTCTAGGTTAAACTGTATAACTCAGCAGAGTGAGACTCCCTTCTCCTTTCCTTCCTGACCATCTTATTTAGTTTCTGGGTGACCTCTGGTGATTTCATTTTTTAGGAAAGGACACAGTCGAATGACAGATGAGCATATTGCCATAGCGTCTCCTCCCTGTGGATCTGGAGTGCACCATTGCACTGCTTTGAATCTCTCTCTCTGTGTTCTGAGCATACCAATTTAAAATGTCATTGGGAGTCTGCAGACATATGTACCTCAGTGGTAGTGCACTTGCCTAGCATGCACAAAGCCCTGCTTCCATCCCCAGCACGGCGAAAATGTTGTTGGGATTATCCAACACAGAGTTACCTCTGCGATTCTTAGGGGCTTTGTATAAACCCTATATGCGTTATCTACAAACTCTGGATATACTTCACTTTGTATAACCCACCTCCTGTTGTAAAACATACATATTGTTTTTAATTCTGTGCTATCACAAATAATTCTGCAGTGAAAACATTATACACATAACTTTACCAAAATATATAAAGATCTGCGGGGTGGATTCCTAATATATTGACTTTGAAAAAAAGTAGAAGGTCTTAGGCAGCTCATGATGGCCTGCAAAAGAAATGTAGAACTCTTTTTTTTTTTTTTGATGGTGACGGTACTGGGGTTTGAACTCAGGACCTCATGCTTTCTAGGCAGGCACTGTACCACTTGAACCACTCTTTTGGCCCCTTTTTTGTGTTGGGTATTTTTGAAATAGGGTCTCTCAAACTATTTGTCAGGGCTGGCTTCAAACTGCTGTCCTCCTGATCTCTGCCTCCTGAGTAGCTAGGGTTACAAAATTGTAGAACTTTGGCGTTCAATTGCTCAGTTATTCAGTAGAGACCAATTGGACGTACCATAACTAGATGTGGATGTGAAGAGATTGTAGTTGGGTGGTTTTTTTTAATTCATGTATCTTTGGCTTTGGATGTTTAGACAAAATTTTAGTGGTAATTAATTCAAAATATGTCCTGAGTGTTCTAGTTGTCCTTTTAATCTGTGTTGAATACCTGAGACAAAAAGATACTATTCCAGCCATAGGATTTGGAGAAATGGAAAATCAAGTTCACTGACATGAAAGGTGTCCCCATTTGATCTTATATTAACTCTTCTTCCTTCTAAGACTCATTAATTATACACATTTTCTGTTGCTAGACCTATAGGAATAGTAGTGGCTAATTTCTACTCAATGAAAACATTTTTCTGATTGTATAACCAATTATATAAATGTCATCAAAAAGACAATTATACAGAAAAAGCATAAAGAAGAAATTAAATATTACATTTAATCCTATCAGTGTATAAATTATCACTATAACATGTGAGTGAATCTCATGCTAAACTTTCTTTGATAAATGCCTATGTGTGTGCATATATAAATATATGCATAATGAGAGAGGGAAAGAAGAGAGAGAAATTGTTTTCTTCATTGGTGGTACTGGGGTTTGAACTCAGGGCCTCCTGCTTGCTAGGCAGGTACTCTACTATTTGAGCCACTCTGCCAGCCCAAGAATTTCTTATAAGGAATCGCTTCATGTGTCTGTGGATGATGAGGAATTCCATGACCTGCTATCTGAAAGCTGGAGATCTAGGAAATCCAGTGGTTAATTCAACTGGAAGGCCAAGTGGTTAAATAAGCTGAAGGCCAATGCTCTAAGATTCATTTTGAGGGTAGGAGAAGACCAATGTCCCATCTCAAGTAGTTAGGAAGAAAGCAAATTCTCTCTTCCTCTAGTTTTTTCTTCTCTTCAGGCCATCAACAATTAGATGATGCCCACCCATATTGGGGAGGTACTCTGCTTTACTCAGTCTACTGATTCAAATGGTAATCTCATCCAACCTCCCCACCACCACCCCCACACACAGAGAACCATTAGCTAAATACTGTATTTGGCCACTCTGTGATCCAGTCAAGATGATACATAAAATTAACCTTCACATCCTATAAACTTGGGCAGAATAGAGACTTGTTGCCATTTGCAAGGCTAAAGACATTCCAAAGGGATTGTTTGCCGGTTTCAGTCCCACATAGGCCTTGATGAAATTCTGGTGTCACATCGATTTTGAAGTATTCAGTTTTCCGCTGCGTCCAAGGTGGCTTTAGGCACCCAGGTTAGAATATGTCTGCCATGCATCATGTTTTAATGTATGTGAGTGAGGCATGGCCATCCATGGCCTGGTTTTAGAATGGAAGCCTAGCATCCTTTGAGGATGTGGCAGCCCAGTGGGAGCAGTCGCTGCTCCTCACCTTGGTGACTCCATTGTCCTTAAACTTCTCTGCTGCAGGTGAAGCTTTTCTAATCCATTGAAAAACAGCCCTTTCTTTTTCTTTTTTCTCTCTTTTTAAATTTGTGAATGTTAATTGTACAAAGAGGTTTCATTGCAATATTTCCATACATTTATATAAGGTACTTTGATCAAATTCACCTCCTCTATTATACTTTCTTTTTCCCCCTTCCCATTTTTAAACAATTTTTAATGGGTTTCATTATTCTATTTTCATATGTGCATACGAAGTACTTGCGATGGCATTTGCCTGTACTTCACCCTCTCCTTTCATCCACCCACACACACATTTCCACCCCCACACACATTTCCACCCCCACACAAACAGTGCCCCTGTTTTACATTCCTGTCTTTCTTTCTCTCTTTTTTTAGGTCTAGAGTCCATATAGCATTTTATTTTTCTATAAATTTTTTCTGTTCATTGGCTTACTTTCTCCATTGTAACTTGATGTTATGTGCCAGGAAAGGTTAAAAAGTACTTTTTAAAAATGAAGGACAAGAAGGTGAAACAGGTCTCATGTGGGGAGTACCAGTGGGAGTGGGGAGAGTGAAAAGAGAAGGTGAAGGAGGGCAAATATGTTCCATGTACTTTGTATGAAAATAGAACAATGAAATCTGCTGAAATTGTTCTAAGAAGGGGGAAGGGAATGATGGAGAATGATGGAGGGAGTGAATCTAATTAAGGTACATTATAAGTACATATGTGAATGTCATGATGAATCCACTCTGTACAATAATAAAAATGTTTCTGAAAAAAGAAGAAAAAAAAGTAAAGAGCAGAAAAAGGAATGTATACAGACAGCACTTTGGTTTCAGTCCCCATGGTCCCCTTGGAAAGACAGGTGCAGAAAATGATCCGGAAGTGTAAACTGTCCTAAGATGGGCATTGGGAAGTGTGGCTGACCAAGTTTTGCATCAGTAGCTCCCAGACATCTGGTTGCCACAGCTGACGTGCCACATTAGAATCTCTGGTCATAGATCCCAGAAAACAGCAGTTTTAATGACTTTCCCTTCCTTTCCTCCACCTCTCTCCCTCAACACACCTGTGGTTTTGTTGCTCACTTCATCTAAAATTCGAGAACCAATAAAGGAAAGATTGAATGGAGGAGATAGAATTCAAGGTGTGTTTTAGAAGAAAGAACTTAGATAAACAGAGAAGAGCTGAAAGGAAATTCAGGCAAGGGAACTGTGAATACATTTCTCTAGGCACGAATGTGCACACTTGCAATGAGTCCCTGCAGGTCATAGAGTGGACCACACTCGCTTCCTCCTCCATCAAAATGCCCCTTAGAAGATGGAATTCTTTATCCTTTGCAACTATTACAACACATTGTAATAAAGCTGTCTTTTGGGCTGTCACAAATAGGCCAGGCTCCCAGTAATCATCAGATTCAGCTCTGGGGAGATGACTGACTGTCTGCAGAGCAAGAGATGCTATTTCCCTGCATCCAAGTAGGAAACAGTAACCAGTAAGGCCAATGTTATTTATTTTGTTCTAACTTTCTTCCATTTTATGTAACCTACCATAGATACCTGCAGGGCATATCATACAGAACTCACAGGCAGTAGGAAAGGTGGGCGGAAGTCTGTGGAATGTTATCTCAAAATTCCCAGGAGGTCTCCTGGGACCCTTGCTCTAGCCTTCAACCTGCTTTCCCTCATTTCTGCTCACTCTT